TAATTCTGTGACTAAGACGAGACATTGACGAGCTAAAACTAATATATGATGATAAAAACTATGACAATTTATGCCGCGTCTTCGTTAACAAGACGAGACAGGACTATAATGTTATTTGAGGACTACCGGACATTCAAAATACATCCTAAAGGCTACTGTCTTGTCCTTCAAAATGTGCGTCCCTGTCAATGGATTGCAATCAGATAAGGGGCATTTGCATATCTAGTCTCAGTATGGCAGCCGCAGTGGATGGATAGGCTACCAAAATGCAAACTAGCGATCTGAAACAATGGCCTCGGCACCCGAAGGGGTAGGGATAAGGTGACCAGACGTTCCGTTTTCCCCGGGAGTCACAATTCATTGTCGATTAACATTAAGTTAGTGAAGGCGGGATAGGCAGAATCGTGCTGATAGAAGTGTTCTCTCTCGCGCACACTCAACTTCTTCAGTTCTCATATACAGCGCGCGATCAGTTATCAGTGCTCAAATACACACACGCAGCAGTGCAAATGTCTCGTGAGTAGAGTATCTCACGTAAATACAGTCGGTTATGGATTAAGTGAACGTAAACCGGTGGGTGAAAACTGAACGTGTGTCAGTGTTACATGCATACCTTCAGTCTTAAAGGGATAGCATTCCTAATTAAGTACCTATCCTTGTCATTAATGTTAACCAACAAAAGATGTTAAATATGTTAAGTAAACCTACTGTATCTGAAAAATGAGTTTAATTTGTATCTCTTTTGTATTTGTTATTATTATATGTATTTATTCTGCTTCTTTTTAAAAAATTATAAATGATATATATATATATATATATATTTATTATATATGAACAACTATAATTTTTATAAGTTGCTCCCTTTTCACTACTGTTAAAGGGGTAGTTCACCAAAAAATGAAAATGTCAATTTATTCAAGTTTTTCCAAATTCAATACTTGATTCAAATTTCTCATAAGCTTAATTGATTTGGTCTGAAAGAGAGAAGAATTAATGACTATTTTTGTTTGAAGACTACATATAAAATAGCTACCAAAATAAATGTTGATAACTGCAGTTTGACTAAAAGTAATGACTAAAAGTTGACAAAAATGCAAAGACTTTTCGTCGACTAAAACTATGAAAGACTCCAATGACAAAAATGGGACATTAGGGCCTTTCGCACCGCAGGAACCTTTTCATAGTACCAGAACTAATTGTGGAAATACCCACTTTTTGGCGTGTTCGCACCGCCGGAACTGGGAGCGATTTTAGTACCGGACTGCCTTTTTTCGAGAACCAAATTAGCTCCTACTCCAGAGCAGGGTCTAACCAGCACAACTGGTACTAATCGTGACGCAAGTAGACATTGATTGGCCAAACGCGTACGAAAACGCCCTCACGCGCCATGATTTAAAACGCAGCGTAAACATACTGTAAGCATGTCAACTTATTTCACAAGTATGGAGAACAGCGATAGACGGACGGACGCTGAAGTGCAGGCACTTGTAGCAAATGTAGCACTGCTAGCACTTGTTGGAGATTCTTAGTCCTCCTTTCCGTTCTTTCAATCGCTTTACGTATATGTCGATTTTCCATGTCCATTATTGTGAAACCCGCGAGACACAAAAAACACAGCTCCGATCACAGCGTCCTCCATCCTCCTGTTGTTAATGTTGTTGTTCTTTGTTTCTGTTGTTGAACGCCGCACACAAATGACGACGCTGTCGACCGGTTTATGTCACTTCCTAGTACACACTGTCAGTGCGAATGCAACCCTTTAAATGGTACTGGAAAATAGTTCACACAGAATCGTCCCAGTACTTTAGAACCATACATTTAGTTCTGGAACTAAAGCGGTGCGAAAGGGCCTTAAGACTATTAAGCATTTTCGTCTCAAGATAAAGATTAAGACTAAATCAAAAATGGCTGTCAAAATTAACACTGGTTCTATTCTACACCGCACGCGAGCGGCGCAACAAAATACAATAGAATTGCGTGCCGCGCGATGTGATAAGCATGAGCATGATCTTGCCATCCATTCATCATATCATAATGCAAAACTAAGATTTAGAATCATTGTAATGTGACGATTAAATATAAGTGCGGGTGGGTGGCAGGCGGATAATTTGAAACAGCGGACTCGGTTGAAGTTTGAGACAGTGACCTGGGTCGCCAGTAGCAAACAATGGAGCGCGCTCTGCTGGACAAACTTAAGTAATTACACCATTCAGAAGCATTTAATCTGCGTTATATGTTCTGTAAAAAAAAAATTCATATTGGTGGCATATTTGCAGACATGGCATTAAATAAATAAATTTGGCTCCATTTATCAGCTATCGGCAGTATTGTTTAATCAGTAATCAGATTTGGTTCATAAAAAGCTGTATTGGTCAAAGTGACCTGAGACATAGATATCATATACCGTAAAATGTCTGTGTGACTACAATGTATTTGTTTTGTTTTTTTAATATATTGTAAATGTAAACATACAGTTTTGTATATCCATAATCTATAATGTCTTTCAAACTAAACATGGTATATTATACCTTTTGGCTGTGGGTGTATGACGATCACATGCATTTAAAGACTGGTCACATGATTAAAACAATCACAAGATCGGTCCACACAAGTGGGTATAAAAAGTCTGCACACCCCTGTTAAAGTTGTTTTTGGTTTTTTTTAGATGTAAAAATGCAGAAAGTCAGATCCTTTTTTTTTAGCCTTTAATGTAATATTGAAACCAACAAAATGAATGTAAAAAAAATAAATGTAAAGCCTAAATGTACTTGGTTGCATAAGTGTGCACACACATTTATAATGGAGGCATGGTACTCTGTTTGGAATAAGCCAATCACATTCAAACTCTCCCTGAAAAGTAACGGTGTAAAAATGATCTATGCACACCATTTTTAAATTCATGTGCACTCATCATCTTTAAAGGGGTCATATGATGCGATTTAAATTTTTCCTTTCTCTTTGAAGTGTTACAAGCTCTTGGTGCATAAAGAAGATCTGTAAAGTTGCAAAGTCTCAAATCCAAAGAGATATTCTTTATAAAAGTTAAGAGTCAGCCACACCTACCTAAAACGGCTCGTTCTAACACGCCCCCACATGTCTATGTCATGATGTGGGAAGATTTGCATAACGCTGCCCAAATGTTCACGCAAAGAAAGGAGGCGTAACTTTTATTCTCGCTGTAGTATTGTTGCTGCCGCCATGTCGTGAAGGCGCTGTGTGCTTCGTTGTGAAAGCGAAACTATTTTGTTTGGCCTTCCAAAAGAGGACACAACTAGAAATCAGTGGCTAAGTTGTATTTACAGCACTGTTCCAGAACACTTCAACCCAAATATTCAGATGTGTGCAGCACATTTTATGGAGGACTGTTTCCTGATCCTGGTAGAGTAGACCACAATGTCGGCTGTTCTGACTCACAGCCTGTAAGTAAATTTTTTTTATATATAAAGAATTTGCCACTGACGATTTAAACGCGAGTTTTGAGCAGTGTAGAGTAGGCTTGTTGTTTGTAATTTCTCTGATCACAAATGCAGACATGGTTTTATGTTTACGTGGCGCGATGCAACGCGTAAAAAGACAGTATAAGTCATTATAATCCGTAATTATGTCCCCTCTGGATGCAACAAATGCCTCGTTTATAATGGCTTTTAATGTTTTTGTCTCATCGCTCCGGCCGGACAGGGCCTCATCACAGTATGTGAGGGGCGTAACATTTCCGTCACACGCTTGAGGTATTCTGCCAATCACAACGCACTGGATAGCTAGCCAATCACAGCACACCTCGCTTTTCAGACCGATGAGCTTTGTAAAAATCGATGCGTTTCAGAAAGGCAGGGCATAGAGGAGAAACAATAATGTACAGTGGAAAATAATGTGTTTTTTGAACCTTAAACCACATAAACACATTTCATTACACAAATACACCAAATAATGTTCTTTTTAGCAACATCATATGACTCCTTTAATCAAAATTTGCTTGCAACAATCTAATTTTCCTATATCTGTGTTATGGGGTAGGGTGGCCAGATAGAAGCCATTGCTGGCAAAAAAAATCCCACCTAAATTTTGCCAAAACCATGTGGCAGAATGTTTTATGGTCTGATGAAACCAAATTAAACTTTTGGGCCGTAATATTACCTGAATTTCATCTTTCAGCTTGATAGTAACCTCAAACACGAATGGCATCAGAAGAAAAAGAAAAAAGTTTGCAGAGTAAGAACCCAGACCTAAATCTATTTGAAAACTTGTACCAGCCAGTACACAAGAGATCCCCCTGCAATGTGATCAATCTAGAGCTCTTTTGCAAGGAAGAGTGGGGAAAAAATTACAAATCAAGATGCGCGGTGTTAATGGACGTTTATTCAAAAGAAATAATTAAAAGCAAAAAGTGTTTCAACCAAGTATTTATTTGAAGGGTGTGCACATTTGTGCAACCAGGTTATTTGAAGTAATTATTTGTTTTTCCTTAAGTTTCTATTTGTTTGTTACTTGATTTTAATACTGCATTAAAGGTGGAAGAAGTTCTGACATCATTTATCTTGGATTCATTTTTTACAGCTCAAAAACCTTTCAATTTAACAGGTGGGCGGACTTTTTATAGCCACTAAATGTGGAAGGAATAGAGCAGTAAATGGTGATCTTTTCTGTCTTGCATTTGAAAATGTATTTCATTAAGTGCCACAATCTTTACCTAGAAATGTTTGAGTATCTTTTCTCAACCTGCTTTTATCCAGGCCCTTCAAGACAAACCTTCATTCCAAAAATTATTTTTTAAATCCGCATTCTTGTCTTGTTTTCCAGTAAAAAGATCTAAACCTCTCTAAAACAACAAACATTTAATTGAAGCAAAATTAAAAATTTAGAAAAACAATTGACACCAATCTTTTAGCTGTCAGGGAGATTTTATTCATGATATTAGAACAAAATGCTCACAACACCTTAAAGTGCTCTTTGGGAAATTTCTATAATTTATCAATTTTCTATCAATTATTATTATTTTTTTTTTGTTGTCTTTTTTTCAGATATGCAGAGTCAGTGGGTGCAAAACACTATCACACATCAGCCAAATTAAACAAAGGCATTGAGGAGCTGTTTCTGGACCTGTGTAAACGTACGTTATTTTTAGAAGCTGTGTATCATGTCAGTCTATCTGCTTTCCATAACACAACAGGCTTCACGATTAATTGAAACTGCTTCAGAGTGTAACGTGGCACTGTGTTCTTTCACACACAAGCAGCTCATTATTCAGTGTTTTCAGTGGCTCAGGTCACAGTAAGTGCCGCTCTACAAAAACCCCATTTTAGCATCTGACTTTTGCCTTGCTTATAGCGTTAATTTGGAAACGCAGCATATGCCAACTTTCTTCCCAAGTTTTTAATGAGAAGTGTTTATAAATCAGCTTTTGTTTGCCCAAATTCAAGCTCATTGGTTTAATGTTTGAAAATGCAGAAAATAAGCCATAAATATTAGTATTGTAATTTTACAGTTATACTGTAAAATATTATTTTTTTAAATACTATTTACAGTGAAATACAATAATAATGTATACGATAATAATATTTCGTAATAAAAAAAAATCAATTGTAACCTTTTTTTTTCAAAAAGAAAAAGTTTATCAAAAAATAAATGTAGACTTCTCCTTTTATGCTGATTTTGTTTTTCTAAAAAAAAATTGTCTTTCCCAAAAAGGTTATTGGCTCTTTTAATTGAAAGGTGTGGGTTCCCTAAAGGGACAAGAGTCCTATGTTTGACAGAACCAAGGAGGTTTTTAACTCTGTCATACACACATTCATGCGTCATGTAGCGCTACATCAAAAAGTTGATTACATTTTTATATTTTATAGTTTACTATCTGTTTTTAATTTATGTCATTTTCACTGGCATCTGTAGGCATGATGGAGATGGCTCAGGCAGAGGAGAGGTCAAGGGGGAACGGCGCGAGTCACACAAGCACAGCCCGGAGAGGCGTACAGATTGTCGACGATGAGCCGCAGACTGCCATGCCTGCCGGAGGCTGTTGTACATCTGGCTAAACACACTTAACCCCCTTTTACCATACCTGGGACTGATAACGGCCTCTCTCGCCCTCCTCTGTGTAAGAACTGCCACTTCCCACAGCTACGCCCGTCTGTGACTGCTCTACAGCTCTGTCAATCATTTCTTTAACAGTTAGTTCCTTATTGAAAGGGTTGATTTGCAACTCCACCCTTTGCCGGCAGACTTTAGGGTCAAAAAGTTTGACCTGTGCTGAAGATATTCACTTAAACAAATTATTACAAAAATGATAGTGCCCAGTCGTATAAAACACACATGCACTGATACAGTTCCCTAACAATCTGATATGTTAGCACTTTTTCTTCTTTTGGCAAGTTGTTGTGCATGTAGAATCTTTAAAATCCTAGTTTTATTTTACGTCTAAGAAAAAAAATAATAAATTCTTTATTATTTAATAACTTATTTACAATTTCATCAAACATCAACATATCCAAATACCTTTTGTTCTTCTTATAATCGATGGGCTTGTGTCATTCTTATACAGTCTCATTCTTCTGTCATTCATATCTTCTGTATCTTTCTTAAAAATGCAACATTAAAATCCATCTAGAACATTTAAACTCCTTGTAGATTTTGTCTTTTCTCTTCAACTTGCTGATTTACCACTAGCCAAAATTTGAAAATATATTGTTGTTGTTTGCTTGCTAAATTCTTTATTGGCAGAAATATCCAATTCTGTGTACTTTACTTTTCAAACAATCAATTGCAACAGCGAGTCAGAAAAGTATACCATATTTGATATTAATGTTGTATGAATGTATAATGAATAATAATGGTTTTTAAATTTTTTGTGTTTTTTAACTGCTACTTTTACGATGTTAATTGTGTCCCCCCTCCCTCCAAGACCTGAACATTTGGACAACAGTTTTTGAAAATACTAATAGTTTCCACAACCACATCACCTGTAAACACTGAGGTGCAGCTGTGAGCCTTCTGTGCCTTTAAATAAAAGTGTCTAGATTGACCCTCCTATTGTCTCCTAGCATATATTATTTGTAAGAAGTTGCGTTTACTTAATTTCAAAGAGGTTTTCCAGTGCACTCTTAAAAATAAAGGTGCTTCAAAAGGTTCTTCAAGCGATGCCATAGAAGAACCATTTTTGGTTCCACAAAGAACCATTCAGTCAAAGGTTCTTTAAAGAACCATCTCTTTCTTACCTTTTTGTAATCTGAAGAACCTTCTTTCACCACAAAGAACCTTTTGTGAAACAGAAAGGTTCTTCAGATGTTGAAGGTTCTTTCTGGAACCATTTAGACAAAAAGGTTCTTCTATAGCATCGTGAAGCACCTTTATTTTTAAGAGTGGGACAGTCGCATTAAACATTGGTTACACATGTGACCATGGTTCTATGACTGGATAAAGAGTAAAACACCCTAAATGTCCTTCTTGTTCAGAACCCAATAAAAGCTGTCACTATGTAATCTTAATGACATGTATGTCAATAAATGTCTGCCTACAAGTCTTCTCAGTCATAAAACCATGGTTATACATGTCACCAATGTTCTGTTTTCTTCGCTTCAGTTTGTCAGAGGGCTTAACTAAGAGGACAAATAAGAATTCTGTCACAAGGGTCTGATTAATATGCATCTGCCATACATTTATAATTTAATATTCTGAACCTGCACAGAATTAGTATATATATATATATACACACACACACACACACACTGTGTTGGTCTTGGCCATGGTGGAGTTTGGCGTGTGACTGTTTGAGGTTGTGGACAGGTGTCTTTTATACTGATAACGAGTTCAAACAGATGCCATTAATACAGGTAACCAGTGGAGGACAGAGGAGCCTCTTAAAGAAGAAGTTACAGGTCTGTGAGAGCCAGAAATCTTGCTTGTTTGTAGGTGACCAAATACTTATTTTACCGAGGAATTTACCAATTAATTCTTTAAAAATCCTACAATGTGATTTTCTGGATTTTTTTTCCCTCATTTTGTCTCTCATAGTTGAGGTATACCTATGATGAAAATTACAGGCCTCTCTCATCTTTTTAAGTGGGAGAACTTGCACAATTGGTGGCTGACTAAATACTTTTTTGCCCCACTGTATATATATATATATATATATTGTGTGTCTTTTCAATTCAATTATAGCCACATGTACAATCAAAGCACTAAACTTGACATTAAAATAATGCAGTAAACCGATGTACAAATGTACAAAAACTAAGAACAGTTATTTCAATGAATAACCATCAAATATGACATATGGTTTTTCACTGTAAATTTACATTTTAAATTTCCAAAAACTGTACATTTAACAGTAGTTTGTCCTGTTAGATTTACTACAGTTTTTCACCATATGGAGTAAGGGAACTTATTAAGCAACGATAAGTTGGAAATGCATGGACAGGCCAACAAGACATTATAGTGAGGTCTTTTGTCCTCATTTAAATATTATAATTCTGTTTTGAAAAGGGATTTCTCCTAAAGCAGGTCCATCTTGTAAAAGCTCATTTAAGGTATTCGACTCTGTAGTTGGGCAGATTCCAAATCTTGTTATTAGTGGTTGTATTGATACATTTGTGGTAATATTATTAGTGGTAATAATGAGCCTTTATTTCGTTAAAACAGTTTTTTCCCCCCGTAGTAACGAGATAATGTGTTGTTAAAACGATTTATTGTCTCGTAATACCAACATGTGTGTGTATATATAATATAGTGTCATAATGTCATAAAAATTATGTGATAAAACAAAAAAAATCCAAATGTTTTCAAAACAAAATAAATTACATATAAACTTTGTAGAACTCACAAACATTCAAAGTATTTCGTTGCTTATTTGTATTTATTGAATTAACAGCAGTTGACAGTAAATCTGTGTTTATTAATATAAAACCTTTTTTTTGCATTGTATGGTGCGTTCAAGTCATGTCGGATAGATCGTATTTACGAGTTGAACGCAACCACAAAGTCGTTATTACGAGTGGGAAACTCGAAATTGTCTTTAAAGGGATAGTTCACCCAAAAATGAAAATTTGATGTTTATCTGCTTACCCCCAGGGCATTCAAGATGTAGGTGACTTTGTTTCTTCAGTAGAACACATATGATGATTTTTAACTTTAACCGTTGCAGTCTATCAGTCGTGTAATGCATGGCAATGGTAACAAAATCTATGAGAGTAAAAAAAACATGCACAGAGAAATCCTAATTTAAACCCTGCGGCTCGTGACGACACATTGATGTCCTAAGACACGAAACGATCGGTTTGTGCCAGAAACCGAACAGTATTTATATCATTTTTTACCTCTAATACACCACTATGTCCAACTGTCTTTGGGCTCGCGCAGGCAATCAGTGCGTGAGGTGTGTACGCGCTCTGGCGTAGTTTACGCAAGCGCCGGAAGTGATCTCTCGCACGTATACGTCACTCATTGTTTACACAGTGCACAAACATTGTAGGTACGACGGCTAATCAAAATGGTACGTACTTGCGCTTATCCGGATTGTTCAAACCGACTTAAAACTAAAAGAATACGTTCTCTCGCACGAACTCATTCGGGGAGGGGTGACTTTCCACGTATTCCCAACTTCTGAGCCTGCTCGCCTGAAGTTATGGTTGATTGCTCTTCGGCTGGATATCAACACACCCATTAACGTAAACTACGCCAGATCGCGTACACACCTCACGCACTGGATGCTGTGCACGTGCCCAAAGACAGTTGGACATTGCGGTGAATCAGAGGTAAAGAATTGTATAAATACTGTTCGGTTTCTCGCACAAACCGATCGTTTCGTGTCTTAGGACATCAATGTGTCGTCACGAGCCGCAGGGTTTAATAGGGGTTATGCGCAACAGACTTCCGTATTCTGTTAACCGGGTCTCGTCGCTTCCGGTTCAAGCGTTTTGCATATGCTTAGTTAAATATGAAGCAGTTTTACTCAAGATGCCTTCAAAGTTAGATACCAATGATGATCATAACCCATGTCCATCACATATGCGGACTGATATCTAAACGCTTTTTTATTATTATTATTCTTTTCACATTTAGATATAAAAATGGAATAAAACGTCAACAATAAAAACAGCTAGCTAGTTTAACTGATTATATTAAAAGGCCATAGATATCGCTATTATTTAATACGGCTGTTAACACGTTCTCCGACAAGCGGAAGCAATGAGACCTGTTTTCCGGGTTTGGTCAGGTGATGTTCGACATATACCCTATTTGGATTTGTCTGTGCATGTTTTTTTTTTTTACTCTCATAGATTTTGTTACCATTGCCATGCATTATACGACTGATAGACTGCAACGGCTGGAGTTAAAAATCATCATATGTGTTCTACTGAAGAAACAAAGTCACCTACATCTTGGATGCCCTGGGGGTAAGCAGATGAACATCACATTTTTGGGTGACCTATCCCTTTAAGTTGGGGGCGTGTCGAGAAACAGGGCGGAATCGATGGATGTTGCATGTCTGTAGTTGACGGTAATTTTTTGTTTAAATTGATAGCTTTGTAATATAACAATTAATAACGAGTTTTTATGCGATACAGATTGAAGTGGCTTCATAAATTACTTTTTTAAAATATTAAAAACGCCTGATGCGAAATCTTCGCTCTTCATTTTCTATAAGCAGAGTTAACAGACCCTTGTAATTCATTAAATGAAGGTTCGCCGCCATCTTGTGCCGACTTGAACGCACCTGACGTCGCAATTACGACTTGCCAACTCGTCAAGTACGAACGTCCCAGGAGGACTTGAACGCAGCAATACATTACCACGCGTTTTCCTTTCCTTTTTTCTCGCGAGACATTTGTCCTCCTGCATATGCCGTGGCGACACGTCACAATGGAGCCCATGGAGCGCTATATTTGTGGCCTCGCCGTTAGACGCGTCTGCTGGCGGTAATAACACAGCGTTGCGTTCCGTTTACAATCTGTATTCGTGATTGGTGAGCTACTAAGCCGCCGGGATTCTCTGTGGTTAGAGCTGTGTCGATTTATCCCGATGTTTATTAAAGACCAGCGCGCGGACTGCAGTAACGTTACAGCAGCAGTTAACGTACTGCTGTGAGCAGAAGCTGTTTCTACTGATGCTCTTCCTGCAATAAAACGATGGAGGCTGATGATGTGGTGATCATCGTGGAGAATGAGGCGGAAAGTAAGCGCGCGGATGAAGCTCAGGGCGGTGTGAGGGTGATGGTGATGGCTCTGATGGACGTGTGTCCCGTATGTAAGCTCAGCTTCAGCAGCAGAGAGCCCAAGCTGCTGCCCTGCCTGCACTCCTTCTGTAAGAGATGCTTACCTGCTCACAACACACCTGCCAGCACCGCCAGCAACGCCCAGCAGTGTAAGACTTCGCTTTCACTTTTACCCATTCACAAGACGCACTAATAAACGAGACATCTAATAATGACAGGCGAAGAGCAGATATACAACGTCCCAAAGCTGCTAGAACGAAGAAAAAAAGCAATTTATGCTTAACAAATCAGCAACGCCAAGGTAATGGGTTCGAGTCCCAGGGAATGCATCAGCTGATACAATCTGAAATGCATTGAATAATAAAGTCATCTGCCAAATGCGTTAATCTAATATAAATATACAGTGGCGTGGTGTTATTATTTTCAAACATGAATGATTAGAATGATTCATGTGGATATTATTCGGTAATTTCATGAAATGCTGACATCTCAGAATCGGCTTTATTCGCTAAGTGTGCTCGAACACACAGGGAATTTGTTGTGGTTTTTAAGAAGCTCTTGGTACATATATATACATATCTGACATGAGAACAGAAACATTTAAATAAGACTTAACAATAAATAATAATGTGTACATACTAGATTTATGTAGAGATTTGTGCATTATTCACTCTATATATATATACAGCTGTATAAAAAAATATGCATTTGTATTTACAGTACTTGAGAGAGAGGCAATAGTTAGAGATGGAGAATGTGCAGTGTTTCCCAACCTTTTTTTTTTTTTTTAGTCGCGGCACCCTTTGGAAA